CCTCGGCCTGTGTGTCTATTTCGGTCCGTATCTTTGTCACGCACCTCCCTACGGAATTCACCCGATTAAAACGTTACGATCTGCAGCCCTCTCACTCTGAGAGGCAGCAAGCACACGGACGGTCCCTTCCCCGACAGACTATGGCCGAGCGGACTCTCCCCCATGCCTACCCTATGAGCACGGAGTACGAATTCGCCAACCCCAGTAAGATCTATGACCAGAACTTCGGGGAAGGTAAGAAAGAGTCTGGGCTTCTCCTCTGGCTCCACTTCCCCACTCCTGCAGGGGACTGTCCAGAGTCATCCCCTGGGACATCACTTCCTGCAGACACAAGGTGAAGGAACTAGGGGTTCTGGGGGCGTTGCTGCACCCTCTGGTTTGAAGTAGATTCCATTACATAAAGGATTTACAATTTGATTCACTGACTCTCAGCACCTCCACTATACAAACTATTCCAGCAACCCTGCAGGGACACACAAGTGTGTGTGTGTGGGGGGAGGAATCAAGAAAACTGAGGGCCCGGGAAGGGGCAGAAGGCATCAGGAGAAGCCTCATTAGGAGCCAGGAGCCATCATGCTCTTGATCTTTCTCCTACTTCATTCCCACTTTCCTTGCCTCTCCCTCCCCTTTCACTATTCATGCACCACCAGCACCCGAGGAACAAAATCTTCCCCTTTGAGCTGGTCTGCAGGGCGGAGGAAGGGCCTCTGGTTGGCCTCAAAAGCAAACCCATGTGCAGGGGCGGATATACAGCAGGGCGAGCGGGGCGGCCGCCCCAGGCCCCGCGCTTAAGAAAGCCCCGCGCATGCGCCGTGGCAAAGGGGGGCCCTGCAGAATTATGCTGCCCGGGGCCCCGCAGAACGGTCATCTGCCCCTGCCCATGTGGCACCGCCAGGCCAAAGGGGTTCTGTGTAGTTACCAGAGCAGGGTCTCGCTCTTTTATTGCAAAGTGGCACCTGAAAATGGTTAGGAAAAACTAGTCCTGTTGCTCCTTAATTAGCTGAAAGGCTGCTTAGCCAGCAAGCCCCCCTGGCCCTCGCCTGGTGATGCAGCAGCTGCTGCAGACCTTAGCAGCAGGGAAACTTCCCGTTGCCCACTGCCCGGGAACGGCCATGGCAGAATCTGTGTGGCAGGAGCTGGAGCTTTTGAAAGGGCTGGGGGTGGTGGGGACTTTGCAGCCACCGTCAGCCCAGTGAAAAGCTGAGCTGGTGGGTTCTGGACAAAGCAGGAGCAGCAGCAGCCAGACGGGAAAGAATGCAGGAGGCAGCAGAACCATTCACCGGGCTCAACGTGCCAGCACAACAGTGTGAAAAGGCCAAAGCCCCAAGAGCAGCCGGGTGTCATTTTCACACAAAGGGGTTTAGTTTTTCCTGTCAGTTTCTCTGCACTCAGCCTTTTCCACCGCCAGCTCTGGCTGTGGGCTACTCTCCTTGCAGCACCCACCCCACCCATCACGACTCTCTCTCATGGGCTTCTCCTAGCTTAAACCCCCTGATGAATGTCAGTCTCTGGCACAGCTGATGGCTGCAGCTGGTGCATGGCATGGAGGTGGCACTCAGTGCAGTATATTTCATGCAGTATTTCAGTGACACATGCGTGGGCAAAGCTGGTGACTCGGTTTCCCTTGTTCCACAGGAATTGTGGGTTTGCACTGAGTCCGCACAGCTGCCTGCCAAGTCCCAGACTCTGTCAGTCGGTGACTCGGTTTCCCTTATTCCACAGGAATTGTGGGTTTGCACCGAGTCCACACAGCTGCCTGCCAAGTCCCAGACTCTGTCAGTCCTACCAATATTCCCCTTTTGGGCTCGCTGGTGCTCTCTTCCACCCCAGGAGGCTGTAATATCCCTCTTTTGGGCACACTGGTGCTCTCTTCCACCCCAGGAGGCTGAGCAACCCTGTGTTCTTCATTCTGTCTCTTTCAGGTTTATCCCCTGCAGAGATTTTAGCCCCCACCTTGTATCATGGGTACTACATCAGGCCTCGGATCAATAAGCAGCTGGACCGAGGGATCTCGGAGATCAACCTCAATGAGCACAAATTCCAAGTGTTTCTGGATGTCTGTCACTTCCTGCCCGACGAGATCGCTGTCCGCACCGTGGACAACCTGCTGGAGGTGACCGCTCAGCACTCCCAGAAAGCTGACCGCCATGGCTTCGTCTCCCGGGAATTCACCAGGACATACATCCTCCCACTGGATGTTGACCCCCTGCGAGTTAAAGCCACGCTGTCCCATGATGGTATCTTGAGTGTAGAGGCTCCCCGAACGGGGGGGGAGGTGAAGGCCAGAATCAAGGATGTGAAAATAACTCACCAAGAACTGCCGCCAGCTATGGAAGAAAATCTGGATGAAAGCAAGGGACAGACTGAGCCCTAAACCCCCCTGGGGCTGTGCTTCAATTGTGGAGAGATGTGATTGGGCAAGATCCCTATTTCTCAGCACCAGTGCTTGGCTTTGGGGGAAGACCACTGTCTGGAAAAATGGTGCTAGAGCTGAAGAGAGAGAGCATGTGGGGAGGGGGTGGGCGTAACTGAAGGTTCTTCCCAGCTCAAGCACTGCTCAGAGGAAGATGGTATATGCTGCCATCTCTGCTGTTATCCAGAAATAGCATGGGGTCAGTTGCTGCCATAAACTGTTGTGCTGTGTTGCTGTGGGCTGTTACCCAGCTCTGCTGTGTTCCACCCCAAAGTGGGCTGCATTTCAGTGGTGGGTGGAGTAAACCAGGGCATCATTTTTAAAACTGTCACTAACATTTGTGGAGAGTTTTGGGGGCGGAAGGGGCCGTAAGTACAGTATGTAAAAACAACAATAGTAAATCTGGCTCTAGTCTCCTCTCATTTGCTTTGAATACCAATTGCTCACATCGTCGTTATTCTGCCGTGAAGAATCTGGATAACTCCTTAGCCTTTCCTAATGCAATGAACCAGGAAATAGTTCTGGGCAAGGTATATTATGGCACCAGATGATGTAGAGTTCATTGGGAGTTCACTTGTGAAACCAACATCAGTGCCAACCCCGAGAGTGACTAACCCCAGGGAATCACATTCACAGCAACTGGGTGTGCTTTGCAACCATTGTACCAGTCCCTTTTGGGTTCCCAGAATAGATCTGGTGCTGTAGCCCTTGCAGGAAGTGTCAGGGATGTGATGGCTTCCAGTAAGTAGGCACAGACTAAAATATGCCAGGGGATCATTATAAAAAATAAACACTCATCTCCAGGGTTGGCTTTAGGGGTTCTGCTGAGCTAGGCAAGCTAGCCAATGTGCTCATCTGCCCTATTTGTTTCGGTCCCTGGGAAGTTGTGCCCATCCAGACCCATCCTACATCCTTTGGGGGAAGTGAGCTTGGAATGTTTCAAGGTCCCGTGCACTGTTGAAGATACAGAGGTCAATTCGGTGAAATTAAATCGGATGGATCTGGCTGTAGGTCTCTCTTCTGTAGCCACCTGCTTGATTAACCCAATGCTACAGAACACCAGGGGAAAGTCTCCTAACTCTAATGGTGTCAGCAGTAGGATTGTGTGTGTTACTCAGACTGCTGCAGCTGCTGCTCGGGCTGGCTATGGGAAGTCAGCAGATTGCAAACTCATTCTTCTTCTGAGCCAATGAAGGCAATGAGGTGCTGTGCAGCGGCGAAAGGAACTTACAATTTCCCACAGGTACTGTCCTATTGCAACCCGAGTCCCTGCCAGCTCTTTAAATAGCTCCCTGCTGGCAGGGACTCGGGCTCTTGCTGGAGCTGCACACCAGGGTGCACCCGCTTCCTTTTACCTCTGGTGCTGTGTCATTGACCAAATATGGGGCCTCTGGCACATCCCGATGTGGGGATATAAATCCTTCCCTGACATGGCAGAGAGTGAAGATTCCAAGACACTGGGGGAGCTGCAGGATTCGTAAGTCCCTCCTTTGCATTCCTTCATAGGGCCTGATTCTCAGGTACATGAAAGCCCCAGGGCATTGATCTGGAAAATAAAAGAGGCCAGGAATAGCACCCAATGAATGCCCCTGTGCGGAGAGACTGCAGGCAGGGCATGAAGACTGCCAGGCAAGTCCAGAGTCCAGCTAGAGTGCACTGCCGTATTGCTAGTCTGTTTTCCAGGGTCCTAGTGAGTTATGGGGATTCGAGTGAAATTCTGAGCAGCCTTCGGGCTGCTGTAATGGACAACGGGCCCTCACTGACCTCAGAACACAGGGAGCCCAGAGGGGATAGTTTGCTATTCTATGCCTGCCCCAAGTTCAGGAAAAAAAGCACTGAGAGTCAATCTTGGTCTTTATGATTTAGGAACAGCCATTCTCAGTGCAGTGAGGCCGGGCGATCACTCACCAGCTCTGATGTGCACCCCTGGTTGTCAGTGACTGAATGTGGCTACCATGAATCAGGAAGCTCTTAGTCCAGTGGCGTAATCTTCCTATCTCAAAAACCAACCAGCAATACTAGTATTAATCTCCTGGCTGTCACTCCCAGCAGATGCCATAGAAGCAATAATGAACCATGGACTGTGTCTTTATAGGTGCTCTCTCCTGGGCAAGGGTGATGTGCATTGACAGGGAAGTGTACAGGCAGTCCCCGAGTTACACGGATCCGACTTATGTCGGATCCGCAGTTACGAACGGGGCTTTTCTCGCCCTGGAGGACTGGAGCGGCAGGACGCCCAGATGCGCTGCAGTCCCGCCGCCCCCATCCTCCGGGGCGAGAAAAGCTGCTCCACGTCTCCCTGGTCTGCAGGGAGACCGGGAGCAAAGCCGCGGAGCGTGCCCGCAGCGGGACAGCCCGGGCGCCCGGGCTGTCCCGCTGCGGGCGCGCTCCAAGGCTTTGCTCCGCGTCTCTCTGGTCTGCTGGGGGGGGGATCCCCCCCCCCCCAGCAGACCAGGGAGACGGAGCAAAGCCGTGGAGGTCGCGGGAGGTCCCGCCACCCGCGTCTCCCTGGTCTGCAGGGAGACCGGGAGCAAAGCCGCGGAGCGTGCCCGCAGCGGGACAGCCCGGGCGCCCGGGCTGTCCCGCTGCGGGCGCGCTCCAAGGCTTTGCTCCGCGTCTCTCTGGTCTGCTGGGGGGGGGATCCCCCCCCCCCCAGCAGACCAGGGAGACGGAGCAAAGCCGTGGAGGTCGCGGGAGGTCCCGCCACCCGCGTCTCCCTGGTCTGCTGGCGGGGGGGGGGGGGGGCAGCTAGTGCTCCTCAGCGCTACTGTACCAACCGGGCAGCACCCCAGCATGCAAAAATACCAGGTTAAAAATGGATTCCAGTATCAGGTGGTATGGTCACATGTTTTACTAACAGAAACCATCACTTGGGTTTACAGGACAAAAGAAGGTTGTTTACAAGTCATTGAGTTGATCACCAAGCCATTAGGCTTCAGAGCACCAGTAATGGCTCTTTATTAGCACATTTGACATTATAAAGAGTTTCATATTCATGTTTCCGACTTTACATATTAGAATGATACATGAGCCAAAACAGGATACACAGATCCAGCAGATTGTAATATTGAAATTGATAGATTACAAGAGGTATTTTAAAGCTATTTTTAAAAGGTATTTTTGAGTTATTCATAAGCCAATTTTCACGAAGCATAGAGAGGGCACATCACACTCAGTATTAATGACAAGAAGTAAAGGGCCCCTGCATTAACAGGAGTGTTGTGAGCAAGACATGAGAAGTCATTCTTCTGCTCTACTCTGCACTGATTAGGCCTCAGTCGGAGTGCTGTGCCCAATTCTGGGCACCACATTTCAAGAAAGATGTGAAGAAATTGGAGAAGGTCCAGAGAAGAGTAACAAAAATGTTTAAAGGTCTAGAAAACATGAGCTCTGAGGGAAGACTGAAGGAATTGGGCTTTAGTTTAGAAAAGAGAAGACTGAGGGGGACATGATAGCAATCTTTGAGTATCTAAGAGGGTGTTATAAGAAAAGGGAGTAAAATTGTTTTCATTTGCCTCTGAGGATAGGACAAGAAGCAATGGGCTTAAATTGCAGCAAGGGTGGTTTAGGGTAGGACATTAGGAAAAACTTCCTACCTGTCAGGGTGGCTAAACACTGGAATAAATTGCCTAGGGAGATTGTGGAATCTCCATCACTGGAGCTATTTAAGAGTAGGTTAGACAGACATCTATCAGGGATGATATAAACAGTGCTTGGTCCTGCTGTGAGGGCAGGGGACTGGACTCAATAACCTCTCAAGGTCCCTTCCAGTTCTAGTGTTCTATGAGTCTATGATTTAACAGCGATAACCACATCAGGGTGTTTGGGTATGGCGAGATGTACATTGGGTTGGGCACAGTAAAGACAGATGCTCATATACAAATAGGCCATGGGTGGGCAAAAAGGCCTCAGAGGGCCAGATCCGGCCTGCCAAGTGGGTGGATCTGGCCTGAGGAGGCCCTGCTGCTCCCCTGCCCGCAAGGCCAATCAGGACCTGGGGACAAGGGAGCGCACGAAGCTTCCGTCCGCCCTACCAGGAGCATGTGGTGCTTTGAAGCGCCGTGTGCTGCTTGCAGGGCAGGGGGGAGAGCAGAGGAGGCTTCCCGTTCTCCCTTGCCCCCAGGCCAATCAGGGTCTGGGGGCGGGGGAGCTGCGTGAAGCTTCCTTCACCCTGCCCCGGCCCTGCGAGGAGCTCGCGTATCCTTGCAGGGCGGGAGGAGGCTTCCAGCGCTCCCCTGCCCCTAGGCCCTGATTGGCCTGGGGGTGAGGGAGTGTGCCAAGCCTCTTCCAGGGCATGGGTGCCTAGTGGGAAGGGGGAGCAAAGGGGCTCTCTCACCCCCAGACCAGTTATGGTCTAGGGGTGGGGTAGCTCCACCCATTCCTGTTTAGGCCCTGCCCCTTCCAGGATGCCTTGGGGCTATTTCAAAAAATGTTTAAGTGGCTCCCAGGCAAAAATGATTGCCCACCCCTGCAATAGGCAATGAGCGCGCTATAAAACCCAAGATTGATAGTCAAATGTACCCAGACTTGTTATGAACCAGGATCCGTGCAGAGGTTATTTATTCAATATTTTCCATGGCAATGAGTTTAAAAGAGAAATACCAGGAAGTCCTGTTAATGGGCTATTTGCTGGCATATGGCTAGCCCCTAAGAGTTGACAGAACCTCCATTAAAGAAATAATTTTATTTTCTGAAATTGTAGTTTAAACTCACTGGTCTACACTAGGACTTCAGTCTAAAATAACCCCCCAATATTGAATTTGTAAGTGATGTGTCCACACTACCAAGCCCATTACTCCAGAATAAGGAGCCACGGAATTGGACCTCTGTATTCCTGCTTTTCATGAGGAATAACAGTATTCCTGAACTTGTAAGTCTGAAATACCATTATTGTGGACACTCCAGTGCCACTGATTCAAAGTAATTGGCCTCTAAGAGGCCTCCCACGGCTCTCCAGAGTGCTTCTTGGAGCTCTGAGTCTACATTAATGGAGCCTGCCTCTGACTATATTCGATTCTTCCCCGTAGTGAGGACACAGAAGTTTGAATTTGTAAAATAGCAAATTCGAAATAATCTCCTTGTGTAGACATGGCCACTTTCCACAGCTCTCAAGAAAGAAAGGTCACGACTCCCCCATCTTGCGTAGGTGAGGTAAGCAAGGTGAGTGAGCAACAAGACCTTACAGTGCCATCCCATCAGAGTGGGAGAGGGAACCCTCTGGAGTGACCAGACAATCTAGTCGCCTACACTGACAGGGAAGCAGAATGAAAGCCCTTGATTGTCTCTGATGCAGCAGAAAGTGCAGGTTGCACAGAGTGAAGGAGTTTTGTGATTAAAGGGGCTGTGCTCTAACAGGACTAGGCAGTGATAGAAATGTAGCCGTATTAGTCTGGTGTAGCTGAAGCA